AAAGTCAATAAATACAAAGAAGTGATAACATAATAAGTAAATGAGAGAGAAATCTTCTAATGACCAAAATGGCATTTGAGCTGGAATCAAAAAAACTCTCACCATTATTAGATTTTTAGGATCAATTAGTTTCACATCTACGCTTTACAAACTGTGTTGGATGGTGATAAATTATAAGATATTTGCCCTTGAAGATCTTATAACATAAATGGCAAGAAAAAGTTGCAAAAAGTGGTGGTCTTCCTGTTTGTGTCTACTTATTTATGTTAAAAAAAATCCTCTAGTAGGCACTCTTATGGGTGGAAACTTCTGAGAACAGCGTTGCAGCAGCCTATTTTAATCCTATCATGCAAACCTTGGGATACATCTTTTCTTTCAACCTTATGGCTTTTGTTTTATTTTTCCTTCAGAGATGTGGAGGACACTGGTGATGCTTCTGGAGTTAGACACAAAGCATGTGCTTAGTACCCGCCTTAGGGCAGTGACTTCCTCCTGCCTTGTATTCTGCTTGGTTATCTATACTTTTACTTCCTTTACTATAATCCTCTTGAGGACATTTTTATATTTTCTCTGGCGTCTTGTATAATGCCTTGTATTAGTTGCTCTGGGATAATTTGATGAACAAATGAATAATAATAGAGGATAAAGCAACAATGAAAAATAAGGTACAAAACATTTACTAGTAATTTGATGTTGATAGCAAAGGAAATTTCTCATAAAAACCTACCCATAAAGCAGAAGGTTGGTTCTTGAAAATTTAAGTCCTGAACCATTTATATCAAGAGGGTCTTCCAAGAATGAATCAGGAATACAATCAGGGGTTGCTTTGTGGATGACAGTTGTTGACGTGTCACAGAGAAGTTTTGAAAAAGCAGTGACCCACCTAGGAGCTCATAAAAAGAATTGAGACTCAAGCTGCCAAGGCCATGTATATTAACAAACTACTAGAAGGTGGTGAACCTTTGTTTCTATGAGTGTGCAATAAAAATCCTGTCCACTAGGCTTCTGTGTTTGAATTGTGCCACTCTAAAACATCTAAATTATATTATCAAACTCTGATGTTCTCTGGTAATCACTTTTAAAACTACTATTGTTTTCATAGGAAACCTTGTAAACACAATCCTAAAATAATAAATTATTTAGAGATGTATCCTCTCGAGGGAGGTTGGAAAAGGAAATAGAAAGTAGAACCTGATATAACTAATTAATTCTATACATGTCGAGACATGCCCAGAAGCTAAGATCTAGTGAGCTAAACAGACTTTCTCCCTGATTTTCATTTTCTTACCAGCTTCAAAAGTACTTTAACTAGGCCATAAAAACAGATATGTAAATAGGTAGTACATCTACCGTATTTACTGTTTAGTTTTAGTTTAATATTTGGTTTAATATTAATGTAGTAGAGCCTGAGAAAAATTAGGACCACGCCGTTTTCAATTGAATGATTAGGAGCTGCCACTCACTAAAGAAAATGTGTGGTACAGACTCAAAACTAAAAAAGTAGGAATCTGGTAACTTAACATTTTGGCTTTAAGCTGATTTGCTTTGCACTTCTATGTGAGATGTGTGCAAATCTTATAAGGGTTGATAATTACTTGTGAAGAGGGGTGAAGTAAACTGGGTGTGGGGAGGTAGACGAGGATTAGCTTGAGTTATAACAGGATCTAAAATATATTGGCTCAAAGATTGTCATAATAAACAAAGCAAAACTACCACTTGGCTGACTTGTTTATATAGGTACAGACTTCCTATGATCTTTACGATGGTATGTGAGGGTCCCCAAGACCACCCTCGATTTTAGTGATTCACTCAAAGGACCCACAGAACTCATACACATGGTTTTGCTTTATTGAGTATAAGGGTACAGATTAAAATCATCAAAGGCAAAAGGTGTATAGGGAAGAGCACAGGAGAGACCAAGTGCAAACACCAGGTATGCTCTCCTAGTAGAATAGTACAGAGAATGCTCAGTTCTCCCAGCAGTGAGATGTGATTGCACGTAGGAAGTATTGCCACCCAGGGAAACTCTCCCAAGTTTTGGTGTCCAGAGTTTTTACTGGGGGTCAGCCATGTAGATAGGGAGCACTTATGTGATTGACCTTAACTATTCAGTCTCCAAAGCCCCCAAAGGTCAAACTGATACAATATGGCCAAGGCCACAGTTAAAAAACTAGGCATTCATCACAAATTACATGTTTGCATAAAATATCTGGCATGACCCCTGGCCCAGTATACAAAGGCAGTCTTATCAGGCAAGAAATTCCAAGGGCTTATGGATTACCTCCCATTAGCTGGTCAAGGGACAGTCTTTCAACTTGGATTGTGCAGGGTTTGAGCAGTTCAAACCTGCTGAATTAATTATTTACTGCATCAGTATTGTAATGAAAGTTTTCCTTGTTCAAGCATCTCACATTTCATAGACATTTTGCCTGCTACTCCCAACTTAATTATACCAAGTATAGTTCTATTGATTTATCTCCTGCTGAATAACCTTTAAAGACTTATCAGTTCCTAAGGGAAACTATATAAATCTCTTAGGATAGCCATAATGTTCACTGTATGAGGTCAGGAAAACTGGAACCCAAGTACTAAGTGAAGTTCCTAGCATACAGGAAATATTTAATACATGTGTTTTAAAAGAATATGTAATGAACAAACCTTCTATTCTTTGGATTATTTCTTGTTCACAGTATCTTTGATATCATGGCTTTCTCATTCAGTCTGCTGCAATAGGTTGAATTTTGTAACCACACTTCAAGGTTTTGGTCAAATTCCACTACTGCCATAAAGCCTTTTCCAACCTTCATAGTAGGCATGTTAGCTCCTTCGCTTCTACGTTCCCCAAATTTAGTTTATTTCTGAGATGCAGTTATGGTCCACCTTGCATTATAGCTGATTATAAATACACTTTTTTACCCAACTCCAGATGCTGGCTTTTAAATACAGAGACCTTGACCCACCATTCTTTGTAGTTCCTAAAATTCCTACTCTAATTTGTTGCTTCATGTCATTAGATAAAATTAAATATTGCAATGATTTAATTATAATATTTTCAAGCTCATATTTCCAGTCTAAAATGGAGCTAAGAAAAATGTAATGACTGTCCCCAAATCTCTTATTGTTGAACAGAATCTGAATCTCAGAAAGGTGATATTACAAGCTTTCAAATTAGAATAAATGAAAGATAGATTAGACCAAAAACATAAGAACACAGTGTACAGAACAGCTGTATTGTTTCCTCAATGGGATAAGCCCAATTATAATTATACATGTTTCATCTTTACTGCCTGTGTATTCTTCTGAAGATACTTTGAACTTCAGGGTTTTGGGGATTTATTTGTCACCATAGGTCTGAAATTAGCTTGATTAGTTTCACTGACATCTATCATATCAAAAATATCTGAAATCTACCTGAGAAATAAAAGCTAGCAAGAATTTCTATGGCAATAATTGAATTTGTGTACATATCAACATATTAAAATTTGACATGTGAAAAAGGCCTAGAGATACCCCTTTGTTTAGGCTCCAGCAACGTAGAGGGGGTTGAGTTTGTAAGTGGGTCATAGAAAGTAAGAGTCAAAAAAGTTAGTTTCAAATAAACTCTTCTCTTGGATATAAGGAGAAATTCTTTATTTGTTTATTCTGATATATTTATCTCTTTTTTCATGCTATTCTTACTCTTCTTATTTTTCCTTCTATGTTTTCAGATTTTATCATCCCTATTTCCTGCAAAATCTTGGTTTATTATAAAATATTTTTATTAAGCATCTGCTATGTGCATAACATTTTACTATGCATGAAAAACACAACTGCTAAGAGGTTGACTTAAACTTAATAAAATTTTATTAAGCTGGTATTCAGTATTCATCCAGGAACCCTGGTGCTCTAAAGATAAGTAAACATAGGGTTTCTACCTCTGAATAGATTATGGTATGTAGCTGTAGAGAACAATCTTAGAAGAAATAGCTATACTTTTTTCTATGGTTATAAAGAGTAGTGTATAAAGGGCTATGGAACAGCTGAGTGAGAAGTTAGATCTCTAAGGATAAGGAACGTTTCAGAATTGAGGTAATAAGGGAATTCATGGCAAAGGAAAAATGTAGAACAAATGCATATATAGGGAATATTAAAAATTTGTTTCCTGGAAAACAAGCAACCTTTATTTAGAAATTATTATTAGTCACGTTTAGCCATTCTTTAAATTGAAAGTTTACACCCTTCTTAGTTTTTTGTCATAGAGCTTTCCCTGGGCTGAAACCTATATTATAGGCCCACCTATAAGCAAATAATTTTTCAGTATACTGGGACTAGAATTAATGAAACTAATCTGGAGAGCAGTCACCAAATGAGAATTATTTTGTTCTGTAATATCACTGCATGATTAACTGGCTATACTATTGTATTAAAGAAAACACTGTGAAAATTAAGCAGGGAAAACTCTCCTTTTCTACTTAGTCATCTCTCTATGGAGATACTATGACTGTTTGCCCTGGTTTCTCTACCTGTCAGATTCTTATGTTTCCTCAAGTGTACGCATTTTTAATATACAATGTGAAAATTATTTTACCATCTATATAATATCAATGTTTTATTATACATCCATGTATTAGTTTAATGTCTTTAATTTTGTCATGTATCATGTGTTCTAAGACAAAGTGGTTCAACAATAGAGAATAGTGAACCAAACTGATTTTGGCCAGTTTAAGTTATTTCTGTATTTATCATAATACTAACTTCACACTCTTGACATGCAGGAAGACCAAATGGTAACTTTTGCGACAGTAGGTGAGTGTCCAGTGTTCTTTCTCATCCATGCAATCAGAAAGGGTATAGCTTATTAAAGAGCTTTCAAATGGGATTTTTTAAAATATCATTATACTTTAAGCGCTTTTGAGAGGTGAAATGAAGGCTACATAGTTTCTATTTTCCTTACACAGAAATAGAGACAATTCTTAATTTTGAAGGGCCCCTCTGTTGCTAACACACTTTTCTACTTCTAGGAGAATGTTGAAGGAGGAGACTGCAGCCGCTGCAAATCTGGCTTCTTCAATTTGCAAGAAGAAAATCATAAAGGATGTGATGAGTGTTTCTGTTCTGGGGTTTCCAACAGATGTCAAAGTTCCTACTGGGCCTATGGCAAAGTAAGCAGCTGCCTGTTAACTCTATACTCTGGTCCATAGGCCTTCTTGCTACTGTTGTTCTTTTGTAAGAAATTAAAGATATTTTTTTCTTGTAGTGAGCTTCGACTTAAAGTTATCATGCTTGAGTGATGGAATTCAAATGCCATTTGTGTATTTTGATCAAAGCCTTTAAAGTTTTATTTGCGATAGTGTGTAGACAGGAACCTCTTAGAATAAACAATAGCCTTTTCATTATCCATGATTAATATGTGAAGCAGTAATGAAGTTAATGTTTTTCTAGCCCCAAGGGAAGGTGATTCAATAGCAAAAACATCAGATTGCGATATGAAGAATTATATTAACCACTCACCAATATTTTTTGATATACAAGTTAAGAAAAATGGCTTTATTATTTCTCTATATAATACATATTGTCCACCAGCCTTTAGTTACTATTTGATGTTGCATGGGCCCTTTCATTGTTAAAGATGGATGGGGTCACTAAATTTGGACAATATCATTATTCTTAGTCAATTTGTCTCAAATTACTGCCTACTTGGTAGCTGCTAGAACTTTCTTCCTCTAACATAAACATAAAAATGTTTACCTTCCTTCCTCCAATGCCCACCACACTCCCCATGTGCACACAGTGATTTGTCTCCTTATAGGAGAGGTACGAGAGGAAAATGGGGCCTTCGGGGAATTAACAAATAGCCTGTGTAGCCACTTTTAAGAGCACAGAATAGCAGGAAACAGGCTAGAGAAAGAGAAGCCAAGAATGGGGATGAGAAACTGTACCACACGGGGCTTAGTATGCTAAGTTGGATTCTTATTCCTAAAGAGTCATTGAAGTGTTTTAGCAGAAGAGTGATGAGAGTAGTGTTTTAGAAAGATCGCTATTTCAAGAAACTATCTTCCTTCCTTTCAACTTTAATCAGCTAACTAATCCTTAATACAAATATTGTATTTCTTCTCTGACTGTATTGCTTTTAAGTCAAGCCTGAAATATTATAAGTAGTTTTTGATTGTTCTGTCACATCTAAAATTGAACCTACGCATACTTTATCAAATGTATTACTTTTGGAGCAGAATACATAGAACCAACAGCAAATAGAAATCGAGTCCAACTTCCTCCTTTTGTTTATAGCACCTCCCCTTCTAGACAGCCCCATTAATATATCAAAGTTTTATGGTTAGCAGAGGGATGGAGGAGGCACTCAGCCGTGGTCTTCAGAAATCGGGACCATTGATATTTGCACTTCAGTAAGTCTTCTGGAAGGAACTTACTCTGAATCTTGCTGGGTTGTCTGAGAATGTCTGGAGGGTGATGTCAGAAAGGGAAGAAAAGAAAGTAATATATATCTCGTCTAGCTAGCAAGGAAGTTTTTACCTGGCCTCTCTTTCTCTTTTGACTGGGGCAGCCCCAGCAATTCCACAGCCTTGGGAGATAGAGAATCAAATGACTTCTACATAAAGAGATTTTAAAGACATATATTTCATCCACATATAATCAGCATTACCATTCTGCTCCTATCGTCCACAATACCAAGCAGCTCACACAGGTCTAGTGGCCCCTAGGAGCTGTAAACCTCCGTGTCCAGTGTTATGTCCAGACTTGACTGTTTAAATTAGAATTGTAGCCTTATGCCCACCCCTGGCTGGAGTATAATGATAGAAAAGCAAATCATCACATATTCCTACTCCTTTTGTATAGCTTCTTCCTTTTCTGAGCCAAAGATTTAAGTCATAGGTTCCCATAGCACTTCCAACACCATGGGAAGAAGTAAGTACAGTATTGTGAGCTGTAGCCATAGCAACAGGCTGGTGCATTAAAATGTTTTTAAATCTCAAAGTTGGAATTTAAATAAATGGGAAGGGAGAAAAGACTGAATGAAAAGCCATCTTTCAGGCACTTGCATATTTTATTTCTTTTCTTCCTCTGCTTCAAGAACTCATAGGTTACACCTTGCGAAGTAATTTACTCCATAAACAATAGGAAATTGCTAGTGGTGTGAAAAATATGAAATTGAAAATCAGACTATCTGATAATTAATATAGCATGTTAACCATTGTATAATTTTGAATGAATTTCTATTATTAAGAAAGAAGTATTTGGAATCATGATTTTTTTAAAAGTATTGAATCAGTAAAAACAGATGATTATATCCAAACACCTAGAAACATCAATGGAAAAAAAAATAAGAACCTATATCAAATACTTATGATAAGTTTATTCACCAATCTCATATTTTTTATAGACTTTGTTTTTTTTAATTTCTAAATGAATGAATATTTCAGGAATATGAAAGCGAAAAGAAGTGGATGGATTTTATGTTTCCTAAGGAATGATGATTGTGTGTGTTTTTTTAAGATACAAGACATGAGTGGCTGGTATGTGACAGACATCTCCGGCCACAGTCGGGTGGCTCCCCAGCTGGACGACTCGGAGCCCCCTCAGCAGGTCAGCGTCAGCAGCGCCGAGGCCCGCAGAGCCCTGCCCCAGTGCTGCCTCTGGAGCGCGCCGGCTCCGTATCTGGGGAACAAGGTAAGTCCATCTGTTGCTTGCTTCTTCGCTTTAGCAGATCAATAAAGGAATGGGCTTTGTTTAGTACTTGTTTAAAGAAGGATAAGAATAGCAAATATATACTGGATGAGATTGCCAGAACCAACTAAATTATATTTAATTGGGCATTTTCCCTCTGTCCCATGGACCATGACATCCCTAGTTCACCACTTGGCATACTTACTTTTCTACATAAACTTTTGAATCAATGAATGATGAAAAAACAAATTAATGAGGGCACTAGAATATTTATGTAAAACAAATTATAACTATTTGAAGAATCTGTTTGGTTATATTTGAAATGTATGTTTTTCTAGAGTTGTCTGTGGTGGGATACTTGTTGAAGTTTTCTTCGTCTGTTTCTATTTCATTTCAAAACTGAGATTCAAGGAAGCTACTTTTCTATCTAGTATGATTGCTAATTGGAAATGAAATGTATTGCATAACTAATTTAATGTGTATCATGAAGCTTATGTAAACAACATATTTCCTGGAGCTCAAAAAGAAAACTACCCTAAAAGACGTGCCAGATTGGAAGCGTGTGTTTGTTTTAAAGCCCACTCGCACGTAACTAAAAACATGTACAGATAAATATATGTAGTAGCCTCAGAAGTGCGGTCATGTTTTTTCCAGGTGTGGATTAGCTCTATCTAGACAGTGCCTTGGCCTTTATCATTTTATTTTGCATACTAATTTATTGGAAACAAAATTTGGTATTGTAACTCTAAATGTGATTATTTGTTCTGTGAAAGTTAATACCTTGTTGGCTGAAAGTTAAATTATCCTAATTACACCAAAAAATCCTTGAGCAAATTGATGCTTTTTAAGCCCAATTTTTACCTATGTGGAGATAGAGTTGCTTTTGAAGAAATTTTTACTGGTTAAATAAGTAAAAACATATTTAGAATTAGTGGTTTTTTCATCATGGCATGTGAGTATTGAGATAGAAAAATTTAATAGTAGTTCAGATGTTACTTTGTGACTGGGAACTGGTGGTTTTAGCAGATTGAAGAAATTTTAACTCGTGGTCAGTTTTCTTATTTTTAACAGGCTTCAAAATGCTATTATGAAAAATGTGAAAATGAATAAAACATGTTTTTCAATGAATGGGTATTTTAAAAGAGACACTATATGTTGCATAAAATTCTACAGCTGCAATAAAAAAACTAATTAAACATTTATTTGCAAGGTCCATTACAATAAGAAGTCATTCTATTCTATTCTTTTTAGGAACCTCGTCTATTCCCAGTAAGAATAAAAGAGCACCTAAGACTTGAATGTCTATGGCTTAAATTTGCCAAAAAATAAACTGTCAAGTTTTTTTTTTCCTGCTCTGAGGAGTTTAATAAATAGCCTTGGGTCAAAATAGGAAGAGTTTCAGAGGTCTTATTTTTCTTACTATAGTGAAATTTATTTAAGGATAGCTTATAATAGAATATTCTTTACCATATTTCCAAACATTTCTTCTTTGGTCATGTGCTTTTTCTTTCTGTTGGCCGAAAATCAAACTGACAGAAGGAAAACAACCAAATGGGATATTAAATAACATCAGAGCAAAGAATTTGGACATCCTGTTCATAGTTGTTGGTTCCCAAAGATAACTTTCCTTATCCTGTCTAAACTGTTTCTTATAACCACCCACAATGAAGCACTTCACATTCCCCCACAGATCATTTTCACATCAAAAAGCTGTGCTTGCCTGTGCTTCAATTTCCATTCAACGAACAAAATAATGGTAACAGGGTACGCAAATTGTTTGAATATGGAAGACATCTCTTAATGTAATGTGGGAGCCCTCAGTGGTTTATTGTCAGATACCTCAGTATGAATGAAACAATTTGCCTTAATAACTGAACCATATAAATTTTTGATAATACCAATAATACTGCAAGCTCTCACAAATTACCACAGTACATCTTAACTGTCATGTCACATCATGTAAATTATAGTCATGATGACATGCTTAGCTTGGTTGATTTCATATCTTGCTAAGGAAATGGAAAATTGTAGGGCCTTGTTTGTAAATTCAATAAAACCACTTTTCTAAAGAGTTGAGGCTAAATTCTTTATCAGTAATTGCTGTTCGAATCAGAGCCATTGCCAGAATCTGACAGAAATAGTATATCAAGACACGAGTGCATCTGCTTAGAGACTGAATTTCATTTACATTAATGACGAGGAGGCTGTGGGTACATAATTCCTCCTCTGCTATTTTAGTGTTAATTTCTAAGTTGAAAAAATATTTATGAGATGCTATTAGCATTTCCTAAATATTTATATAACCAATTTTCAAACATTTTTCAAGTCAGTCACTGGGTTACAAGGCTATGTATCACAGAAAGGGGAGGGGCTGTGCAGTGCACATTCCACTGCGAAGAAGATGCGACATGCCATTCTCCCTTTTTTTAGAAACCTAACCCCAAATAACAAAACCCCGCTGACACGGGATATGCTTTGCTAGCGTAGAGGTCTGTCTGATAGTGATAAAACTCAAGAACAGTAGACAGCTTACCAAAGGGATATTTTCTGACCCCCAAAAATGTTTTTATTGACTGCGGTTCCTTTTCTGGAGTTACAAGGAGTACATAAATGAATATACGTGTGTTTGTGGACAGTAGATGAGGCCTAGAAAAACTTAGCTTTATACAGTTTTATATTACCCATTTAAAAACTTCACATGATCTTAACTATTAATTTCTCAATAGCAATCTTGAAAAATATTTTTTTTGTTGTTTTCTCACATGTGAGTATTTAGCGCCATTGGGTATAATCAAGTGTTAATTTTCTCCCCTCATTCTAGATAGTAAAAGCAAATGAAGTCAGGTACCCACAGGGCTGCACTAGGCACCATTTCATTTTCAAAATGCTTGGAAATGTTAATGCTGGGTTTTAGGGCAATTGTTTAAGCATGGAACTAGGCAAGAATGGAAGGCGCTGGAGGACAGAGTCCTGCTGGTTTGCTACAAGGTTCAGCTATTTAGAAACAGTTTGGGAATTTCAGAGTTGGAATAATTTACTGCTTTAGTAAACTAAGTGCTATTTGAACACTGAAATAATCATTTACTTAAGGTTACCCTAGTGGTCTGAAATAGTGCAGCTTCCAGAAGCAATTCTCATGGCGTCTATAAAATGCCCAGAAAATCTGGCTTGGCCTGTCTACTGTTCCCACAATCCTACTAAGGTTTGACGTGCTGTCTCTGAGTCTCTGAGCATTATTAAATTAATCTTATGTGATTTGTTCCTTGGAAAACAGTGCTTATTTCCTACAACATTATGTTGTCTCTTTCTGTTTCTAGTTAAAAGAAGCTTTTAGATTGTTTCATGTAGTTGCCAAGTGTACGTATTGCCTGGCTTAAAATGCACATATGAGTCTGCTGACAAAACAGCATCTGGCTTCTAGAAGTAATCTTTGGTGCTTCTTTGTTGTGCTTGCTTGACTTTCAATTCTACCTCTCAGATCCCAAATTAAAGCTATGGATTTGAAGGAGAGACTTACAAGGCAAGGTAGTTCTCCTCACATAAAAGGAGCTTAAAAAATACTTTGTGATTAATGCTACTTACTTAACAACAACAAAAAATAAGGTTCCTCAGAAATGACTCTTGAGTTGGGATTTATGTGGAAGATGAGTTCAATCTTGGTTTAAAAAACATTAAAAACTCACTAACAAACATGATCTACTCTCCTTTTAGTAGCAGAATTTATATTTGTGACTTCTTTACTCTGCATTCCTCAAAATTATTCACAAGTTAAGGTCCAACCCTCTTCCTTATCCTTAACTTCCTCCAAGTTAAGTCTTCAATTAATTCAGAGGGTATTATATATGCCTAGAATGGCATGACCATAAAAGTGAATAGAAAAATAAACTCTGAATGAATTTTTACTCCATAAATCAGATCTCATCAAGAATAACATGATAATGGAGTAGTACCAAAAAAAAAAGATCTATTGCCTAGAATAAGCCAAATGCATTGTTAGGCATCAATGAGAAAATATATTTATTAAAAACAAAAAAAAAGCCAAGAACTCATTTACCATAGTTATGGTAATGTCAACATGCAAAGCTAGGCCACTTATGAGGATCAAGGTCATATATAAAAATCTCCCAATCTTGCCTATCCTTGTAATAATATCATCTTTATACTTTTACTAATGAAATTTATAAAGTACTAATTCTAATATCTCAAATTATTATGAAAAAAAGTGTAATATCCATATGCGTTATTCTGTTTACAGTGCCTTCTAATGAAGTACAATAGGTACAAAGATCAGTTTTTACAATTGATAAACTGAGAAAGTACTAAATGGGAAAACATTCAGTTTAACAACAATTTGGTAAGAAAAATTGAGGAATGTTCTTATACTTTTAATATGAGTTGACTTTGTAACATGGGACCAATGAAACTAACATTGGTAAGAGCTTACTTATCAGGTCAAGGGAGATAACAGTTATACAGATTCTGCACAATTCAGGTCATTGAAAAAATTCAACTATCCATACTTACTCATGAAAAATAGATGCAAACATCCTAAACACGACATGACCAATCTGAATGCATAGTATATAAAAATGGTAAATCTTAGTTGGCTAAGTTGCTTTATTATGAGTTCAAGGTTGGTTTAATGTCAGAAAATCAGATTAAGTAACTATCCATATTTAATGACCAAAGGAAAAAGAAAAAAAACCAATTATCTCAATAGATACATAGAAAGATATAGATTAGCCCTAGCTGGTGTGGCTCAGGATTGTGCGCCAGCCTGAGAACCAAAGGGTTGCCGGTTCAATTCTGGTCTAGGTCACGTGCCTGGGTTGCTGGGCCAGGTCCCCAATGTGGGGTATGTGAGAGGCAACCACACCATGATGCTTCTCTCTCTTTCTCCCTCCCTTCCCTTCTCTAAAAATAAATAAAATCTTTTAAAAAAGATATAGATGAAAATAAAGATTCATGATGTTTTAAAAATTTGCAAACTAGGATTGGAAGAT